TATCCTGGAGGTTGTCAGTCTATATCTAAGTATCTAACCTCAACGATTCACAATATCCATGGGATAATTAGTCGACATAAAAGTGATAAAACCAGTTCACTCAAGTCAATAGCCCTTCAAGTAATAAGGAAAATTATCTGGGTTAACTTTGTGGCTTTTGGTACTTCTCGAAATGACCCTCTGGCCTTTAGTATGCTTTTTTCTCAAATAAACAAGCCCTCCCTATGCTAGAATGAGCTGAGAAATTCCTTGATTTAGCTGGTCAAAATTTCTCACGTAACCCCTGTTGTATATTGAGAAAAACCAAAAAATTAAGGATGATCCTATGAAATCTCGCATTAAAAAAACATATATTTTCTCCTTTCCAAAAGTTAAGGATTATACAACTACAATGGTTGAAAACAAGGTTTAGGGTTTCGAAGAGAAACAAAAGAATATAATAAAGAAACAGAGCCGGAAATCATAAACACAGTTACACAGAGCAAACTTGTTCCCCCCGTAAACCTAATCAGTAAAATATACAAGTCGTGAACTTTCTTCTCCAAACACTGAATGCATCAAACCGTGTTAGATACAAAATTACAAAGAATTATCAATTAGGGTTCATGGTAATAACACTGGATTTAAATTTAAATTTTAACTGATTCAGGTATAATTCACAATCCACTTGACATAAAAATAATCCCAAGCATGAATCCATATATCCGGATAATCAAAACAAGACCCAATTTTAAAGGATATTTGAAAATGTTGGAAGTTAGACAGTGAAGATTGAAGATGGAGCCACGTGGCGTGGGAAAGAAGATACCAGGACAAATTGACAAATCTTTGGAAGCTGGAAATTATGGGAACGTTTCAGCTGCACTGCTGCAGTAGTACTATAAAATTAGAAATCATCGGAACTTGGTTTTAGACCCAATAATAGTTCCAAACAAAGGTGGAATCTCCCAGGAGTCCTCACCCCAGACAGCATGACGGAGATGTTAGTCACGGTGACTCAGTCAGCAGAATGACAGTAGTCATATGCACCCGTGCGCATCAGAGGCCCAGCCTTATTTCAGGTTCTGTGACCTCGATCGTTGCGGGGATTCGAACATAGGTTCATTGTTCCAAATCTCCCACCACTCGACCAAATGAGCTATCCGTGCGAGTATAGACCCAATAATATGTTAGTTGGGCCGTAGCTATACAGCTATACTTGTCCAAAATTGAAATCATTGATGTACCCACCTTATATTATATTTGTGAAACTTTTTTTCGTCTGTGAACCCGGTTCACAAATAAAAAAGTGGGTATAAGAAACATCATTTTTGAATTGAAAAGTATTCAAGTCGGCTCAATATAGATGCAAATCATACAAGTCAACCCACAAGTTAACTGAAATCGAATAAAACTCAAATGATATAGTAGTACAAATTTGACTCGGAAAACTCGCAAATTACTCAATTACTCCGTGTGATTTAGTACAAATTTTTATATTCATAAAATCATAAATATGACATTAGATCATATATACATATAAGACCTTTTTTCCTAATAAATTATAGATGTAAAGATAAACCTAATGTATAAGTGACAACTAGGCTGAAAATTTAAAACATTATTTTTATGTTTAAAAAAATATTGATGATTGCACATATATGTGTAAATGTATAATAAATCAAAATCTTTGTTTAAAAAATACGGAGTATCATTTTTAGAATAGATAAAACTCAAATACAACTCGAACTCGACTTGAACTTGATCTCAATTCGATCCAATCTATATATTTCTGACTGGAGAGAAACTCGACTCGTGCTCGATCTTTCTGTATCAAGCATAGCAGGGCCGGCTAGAGAAATTATGAGGCCCTAGACAGTCAAGTAGACAATTCATTTCCATATACCTTATTCAACATAAATATACTATTAATGTAAAAGGATATTTCTTCAAAACCAAACGATCAAAAAATACTAAAAATACATGAATAATCTAGTGGTCTATTCTTCTAACTTTCTGAAAAGCAAAATTAGTAAGAACATCACTACTATTAAGAGTAGTGACTGTATCCTCATTCTCAAAAATATTTGAACGATGATTTTTGTATTTACCATGATCTATAGAGTCTGGCAAGTAATTTTATGTCCTAGTATTTGCTTACTTTGTTCTTTCTCTTTGTATATTCTAAATCATGATTTTGTTTTTCCGTCACACAACCTACAATTTTATATAAAATAATAATAAACATGCAAAAGATTCATAAATAAAAACTTAACGTACATATAGAAAATTATAAGTATTCAATGTTTCAATCAAACTCACAAATAAAAATTGAGATATTACCCGAAATAGGACTAAAATAATTTGAAAATTCCAAAATATGACTGCTATATTTTTATTCCCAAAATAGGACTAGCTAATTACTGCCATGTTTTTGGAGTACCAGACTTCAAGCATGTCAGTATTTTCTAAATATGAGTAATTAGTCATATTTTGGGAATAAAAAACATGGCAGTCCTATTTTGGAATTTTGAAACTGTTTTAGTCCTATTTCGGGAACTTTCCCATAAAAATTCCAACTATGTAAAAATTTCCAAGTTTTATCATTCACAAAAGTAATTATTACAATCAAATAATCAATTTTAAAGTTTATACACGACTACAAATTGAAAGAAACAACTAAAGTACATAATTTATTCAAAAAAAACTAAAGAAGTATTCAAGTATAAACATAAAGTAATCACTAATCACCAATTAAGTAATGAAATAAGAAAATAACAAAGTAAGAATCGCATGAAGCTTAGAAGGATTAGAACACCTCAAAACTTCAAAGAGTGAAAGGACTGCTCTTATGTACTTGAGTGTCGCCACGAGTCCGTCGGACTGCTGTGGGAAGGAATTGAAATTTAATCAAAGTTCACATTAAAGATACATATATAATACTAATGGGTATGTTTTAAAATTTGGAGGCCCCTAATATTTGGGGGCCCTAGACAAGTGTCTAGGGAAAATGCCCCCATGGCCGGCCCTGAAGCATAGCTCATTTTAAGCTAAACTCGAGGTCAGATCGCTCGATTAGCAACACTAATGATATTGGTAGAGAAGTGATTTCCTTTAGGGTGTGTTTGGTAGTTGAGTTTTGGACGGGAGGGAGGAGGTTAATGGGGGTGTATAACCATCCTTTTTATGTTTGGGAGTTTAAAACCTGGAGGAGATGGTTTTGGAGGACTTTTGTAACCCTTCAAAATCTTCCAAATGCTTAATTTTTAAGTTCCCCTAATTTGGAGAGTTTTGGAGGATAATTAACAAGATGATAATTTAAGCTAAATTAAAAATGAATATCATCTCAATGATTTGAATTCGTCATATTTCAAAGTGATTTTAATTACAATTCCTTCAAAAACACTCTTCTTCCAATTTTATTACTCCCAAATACAAAGAAGAACTTCCTCACCCTCCCTTCCCTTTCCCCTCCAACAACATACCTCCAAAGTCTTCTCCTTCCCTTCCCTCCAAACTCCCAAACATACCCTTAGATATTATGTATTGCATCATTGGTCCCTTTTTAGTTGCAATATGATGGATGAAAACAAAACTTTTTCATTCTCTACCAAGATTATAGACGCATACATTTTTTGTTCTTTCCAAAATTCTTGATAATTTCTTTCTAAAAAAATCAATGTGTAAGTTTGGATATATCAACTAATTAACTGTTCGTTCAAAAAAAACTAATTAACTATTTACATCGAGTATTCCATGCAGATAATAATTTAGGAACACAACTAGGCATGAATTTAGTAATTAAGCTGTGTTTGGGAAGATGTCACGAGAATAAGAAGAATTCAGAGAGATAGTATGGAGGGGGGCTCTAGGCATGGACCGGGACCGGGCCGGGCCGGGCCGGTTCAAGCCGGGCTTTTTTTCTAGATGTTGGGCCCGGAACCGGCCCGGGTTGATACCGGGTCCGGGCCAAACCGGGCCGGGCCGGTCCAATGTATAATTTTTTTTGCTTTCTAATTAACCCCCTCACCCCACCCCTCAAACCTCCCCAAAACACCCAGCCCTACCCTAGAAAAAGAAAAAAATTGAAAAAACAAAAAAATGAACCGAGAAATAGGCATGTAGTGGAATGCATATACATACAGATCACATAATTATAATAATGGAGAAAAACAAGGAGAGTACTCTTTTAAGTCGTTTGTTCATATATATATATTAGAGTACTATTTTTGGTCGTTTGCAATTTAATATTGATCGGTTCTTATAAGTTTTATGTAGTCTCATTATCAAACTTTATTTTTTAAAGTCATGTTACGTATGAAGTACTATTTTCACATTGACATGTATTATAAAAATTAAATCATCCACCATATATTACACATGTGCTATAGTAGGAGATTATTATTCACTTTTCCCCCATAAAGAATGGTACACCTTTTGCCAAGGTTTAAATGATTAGATATGTGAAAAATGTTAATAGATGAGTGACATGACGAAATTCTAATTTGCAAGAGTGTAAATAAAAATGTTTTCATGCCAATGATCTCTTTAAATTATCAACGTTAGAGTTCCTTCTTAGATTTCAAATGCAACAATATAAAATATTTAAAAATGCTATCAACCATGGACAATTATTCATCGTTATCTCAAGGCCTACAAATCGTTTTAAATATTGAAATACTTATTTAAGGTGAAGATGAAAGACCTCAGGAAGAGACCACTATCCGGTCTTTTGTAACATACAATCTTTTTTAGAAGAAATATTATGCCATTTTTGTCACAACATTAACCCGCGTTGTACTGTCAAACTATTACGTTCATTTGACACTTTGAATTTATTTAACAATCTCATATTACCTTAGATTTCTCATAACAAACACTCAAATATACTTTTTTAAAATACTCACACACCGTGCATCGCACTGGGCTATACTAGTAATTATAATAATGGAGAAAAACAAGGAGAGTAACTGATTTATAACGCCCCCTAGCTAATCCTCTACCATTCCTCGTGCAATATCTGACTTATTAAGCATATTACAAGTGTATATAAAGCTTCCCCTTTGCTCTATACTTCTATTTGGCCATTCATTTCACCATCCCATTCAGGTATTGCATTTTCTACTCCGGCCTCAAATCCATCCAACTAGCTACTCTTGTTCAATCATCCGTGCATGAAACACATATTCTAGATGTTTTCTGTTTAATTTTAAATGGTGTGATTTTACATGTTTTTGGAAGTCTCTCTATTTCATTAGCATGTCGATATTTGATTTAAGGTATTGTCTATTGCTTTAAGAAACCTCTGTATTTTATTAGTTGATTATATATTAATTATTATTGTCACTTATTGTTATCAATTTTTAATTTGTTGATTTATCTTTCATCAATTTCCTTAGATCTTGTTTTTAAACATTGTTTTGTATCATTACTAAACATGGCTATCATATCATATGGTAATAATATTACTTTATTATTATAAAATGATCTTTTACTTTTTACTTTTTTAGGAAAATGAAAGAGACAATAGTAGGGTCAAAATAAATGAATGGAATTGATGGTCGTTAAAATGTTGCGCGCGCCCCAACACATGAAGCGTATAACGACCAATATTCGAACACTCTGGAGGGTGGTTCTTATTCACCGCGAAAACCGCCTCCCATTCATCTCTGTATAGAACTCCCTGAGAAAAAAGGTTCCGAAATTCCTTTCTACATCCGTACTTCTCATCAAAGATGTCGTTCTCCGATTCAGAGACATCTTCTCACAGCTGCGCCGAGTACAAGAACTTCCGGCAGGTCACCCGTGAAAGTAATCTCTATCGCTCTCCTCTCTTTTTGTTCATTTCACAAAAAGATGTTTTTCTCAAGTCTTAACCGATAATGTTGTCCAAAACAATAATGCATCTGATATTCTATCTTTTTAAATGTAGGGCTGTTGTATGAAATGCTCCGCTCCTCCAAAACGGATGATCCCAGATCCGCTTGGAGGGTATGTTTTTCGGACACTATTTTTTAGGAATAATGAGCTTCTTTTTATATACACTATTTTTTCGCACACTATGTTTTTCTGAATGTAAGCATTGAATTAGCTTACAACAATCTAATTTCATATGGAATTGTAGTTTACAGAAAAGTGAAATTTGTTGTGTTCATCTTGAGGTTTGCCCCTTTCGTGCAGGTACTCATCATGGACAAAGTCACATTGAAAGTAATGTCTTGCTCATGTAAAATGGCAGATATCACAGACGAAGGAATTTCATGTGAGTTCTAGTACTGTATATTTTTATTTATTTTCAATTTCAAAGTTCAAAGTATTCATCATAGTGATTACATTAGTCACTATGATATATACTATGAACACGATTGTAGTCACTAATACTCCGTAGTTACTAAGTCATACTCCATTCGGTCCTTAATTAACTTTACACTTTCCTTTTTAAGTCGTTCCATATTAAACTTTACACTTCCTTATTTGCCTTATTTGGCAAGCAAATCTACACTGAACAATGCAAAACAGTGCTAAACAGTGTCAAACAGTGCCAAACAGTGTACTCTACAGTAAAGTCAAATTTATTTCCTTAATACGTAGTATATGTGAAGTCAAAGTGTAAAGTTTAATAAGGAACGGAGGGAGTATTTTTGTTCACCACTTTTCCGGAAGTAATATTAGTGGAGATTTTTCATTATTATATCTTGTTGGCTATTTTTTTTCCCTGGATTAACTTTACTAACAGGAAATGTTCAAGTATATCTGATAAGCATCCAGATATTATGGTTTTCAATCACTCACCTTATGAATCACTTATATGTCTTGCGTGTTTAGTCTTACAAGATGATTTTTAGTCAGATTTCATGCAGATAACTGGTTTCTCTTTAATGCAGTGGTGGAAGATCTTTTCAGAAGAAGAGAACCTTTACCCAGTATGGATGTCATTTATTTCATTCAACCAACTAAGGAGAAGTGTGTTTATAGCTCCCTGTTTTGTTATCATTCACTTTGCTTACTATGCTGTAAATACTTAGATCACATTGACTAACACTTCTAGTATTTTTTTTTTCAGTGTAATAATGTTCCTATCTGATATGTCTGGAAGAGAACCTTTATACAGAAAGTATGTGACAGAATATATCTTAACTACTCCGTACAAAAAGATGTCAGTCTTCTCATTACTATATCGCTCTTATCCGGGCTATATTTTTCTCTTTGCGCAGAGCTTACGTGTATTTCAGTTCGCCCATACCAAAGGAACTGATTTCTCGTATCAAGAATGATACAAGTGTATTACCACGTATAGGCGCACTAAGAGAGGTCAAGATCTCTCTGTTCTGCCGTGTTGATAATACAAAAAAATATTGGTTTTCACTTTTCAGTACTAAGCCTTTTCTCTATTTTCACTGCAGATGAATTTGGAGTACTTCCCGATGGACAGTCAGGTGTTTGTCATTTGATTTGACTAGTCCTGTTTAATTGTGGATCAGACAATTTTATATTCTTTATTTCAATTCAATGCATGAAATGTGTCACGTTCAAGTTCCCTTAGAATCATTTGGTAATTGGCAATTTAAAGAATCTTATTATGTACATTAATTATTTTGTATTTGCTTCTCTTAGGGTTTTCTCACTGACCAGGATAGAGCATTGGAGGAACTCTTTGGTGAAAATGCTGAAAATTCCCGTAGTTTTAATACATGCTTGAGCACAATGGCCTCTAGAATTGCCACAGTTTTTGCTTCTTTAAAGGTGACTTTAAATATCTATTACTCCAAATTTCGTGATCAACCCTTATTTGTTTCTTTACTTCCGCATGTCGGCATGTGGAATGAAGAGGAAAATAGAAAAAGGCTTATTTCAGAACTGATCACTGTTATGTTAATCTAATTATTTACTTGACACTCAGGAATTTCCTGTTGTGCACTACCGAGCTCCCAAGGGAGATGCATCTACGAGGCGAAACCACGAATTAATTCCCACAAAGCTTGCTGGTGCTATTTGGGACTGCATTTCTACATACAAAACCACTATCCCTAATTATCCCCAAAAAGAGACGTGTGATTTACTGATTGTAGACAGATCAATTGATCAGGTGGCATTCAGTTCCTGTCATAATTTTTACATCAGTTGACTTTATTTTTTTATTAATTTGACCAAATTCTGTTTATTCAGATTGCTCCTGTCATCCATGAGTGGACCTACGATGCTATGTGCCATGACCTTCTTGAAATGAATGGTAACAAATATGTACATGAGGTACACATTTACTTTCGTGAGCATTATATTATGGTTCTTGCTGTTTAAGTTTTGGAAATTAATAACATGAAGTATGGTAGATCCCTAGCAAGTCGGGTGGTGAGCCTGAGACAAAAGAAGTTCTTTTGGAAGATCATGATCCTGTCTGGCTTGAACTTCGGCATGCACATATAGCAGAAGTGAGTAAGACTTTACACTTAATGTTGTTTTGCTTGTTGGATGCCCGTGTTTTGTGACTTCATCTAACTTAATGAATTTGTTATTAGGCTAGTGAAAAGTTACACGATAAGATGACCAACTTTGTGTCAAAGAACAAAGCAGCACAACTACAACAAAGGTTGGTTCTTAATAATGTGTAATAAGTGGATCTAATCCTTGTAAATGATACGTATTATATGCAAACTTAATTATATTATAGCTCAAAGCCTCAAACTCAGATGTTATTTCTTTTGCTTGTAGTAATGGGTAGGATTCGTTTCATTATATATTACCAATAACCACATCAAACCATTATGGAATATTATTAGATTGGTTTCAAAAGATACTCCCTGTCTCAAAAGAAAAAGAATCATGTTTCAAAAGTTATTATTGCTCCAAAGAATCTCCAGTTTCATAAATAAATATATAAATAAAAGAGCAAGTACAAACAAGTTCAGTATGATAAATTTAGTCGAACTATTTTTTTAAAGTATTATTCTGTGACTTTAGTGTTGTACCTTGAAAAACTAAAAAGTTGTACCATGACCTAACATGACTTTTTATTGGGACGGGAGAGTAGTTCTTTATGCAAAATTGCAAGGACTGGAAATGGGAACAAGCTTTGCAGACTGTGATGTAGCTCATTACATGTGCCTTTATTTTAAACTATGTATATTATACTCAGATCAAGAAATTTCAACTAGTTTAGTTCATCGTATTTAATTATTTATTAGATATTTCATCTCTATAATAGAGATTATTACTTTTAAAATAATAATCACTTTATCATGGTTCAGATTTCAGTCAGATAACTAGAATAGTAGAATATTTATGAGTACGATGCACTTTTTTATCTTCTTTTTTATAGACAGTTCTCAATTTAAAGTTCCTTTTTATGTAGAGATGGTAGTGAACTATCGACTCGGGATATACAGAAAATGGTTCAAGCTTTGCCTCAATACAATGAACAAATGGAGAAACTGTCTCTCCATGTCGCGGTGTGTATTAGTTCTCCACTTAAATAAACATCTACTTAGTGGTGACCCTTTCAAGCATTTATTTTATGTAAGCTTGTATTGTTTGACAATTTCAAACAGAAACTCTGTTTCCTGAATTAGTAGCAGGCCACCAAGTTTATAAAAGTAAAGTGTTGCATTTCCATAGATATATATGCTTCAAAGGAAAAAAATGCTTCAAAGGATCAAAATTTGACAGGATAGGCTACTGCATTCCTATATATGGTATCCATGTTGATATTCAACAATTCGAACTTGTTCTAATCAGATAGCTGGTAAGATAAACACAATTACAAGAGAGCAATCGCTTCGTGATCTTGGACAGTTGGAACAGGATCTTGTCTTCGGTGATGCTGGATCAAAGGAAATTATCAATTTTCTTAGGACGAAGCAGGTGATTGTTTTCGTGTTTCTCCGAATTCCATTCACCTATTTAATAATGCCAACAACTCCTCACCCCACCCCACCTCACCCCCACCAAAAAAAATTCTGTAGGATGCAACAGCTGAAAACAAGTTGCGGTTGATGATGATTTATGCTTCAGTTTATCCAGAAAAATTTGAGGGTGATAAGGCAGCAAAGCTCATGCAGGTTTGAAAGTCATACCTTTTCCCAAAATATTCCAGTTTATTATCTGGAGCAATGATGATGAAACAAAAATAAAGGAATTTTTTTATGATGCTTACACATGAGAACATCTCACATATCACCTGTTCACCTATAAAACAAATGCAATAACACGACTTTCTCTCCTTTGTCTCCTTTTCCAAAATATATATGTTTACTATATCTATGTACTTCCTCCATCCACAAAAAGAACAGTGTTTATAAATTATAATGCTGAAACCTGAATTCCAAACATTACTTTTTTCATGAGACAAAGGGAGTAATATATATGTCTGAACATCCATTTGGTTAATCCCTATGATGAATCCAGTTTGAAGATGAAACATTCACCATATTTTCATAATAATAAGGCTTAAATGCTATGGAGTATGTATTTTTTGATAAATGAATGAACACACACAACGTGTGACAAGGTTTATGTGGATTTTGTTGTTCTTTTCCCTCAGTTGGCAAAACTATCAGCTGAAGATATGAAGGCAGTGAAAAACATGAGAATGCTGGAGGCTTCCGATAATAGAAAGACCTCAAATGGAGGTTTCTCCCTAAAGTTTGATTCACAAAAGGTATGTTTATCACACACATAAGATACACCCACTCAGTGAAGATTCATGACACTCAATTACATAAATTTGACCTGAGAAATTTTAAATCTGTTGATTTCCTTTTAGAGGAAGAATGCAGCTCGGAAAGACCGAGCTGGAGAGGAAGAAACATGGCAGCTTTTTCGATTTTTCCCTGTGGCAGAGGTCTGTTTACGGATGTCTACTTTTCGATGTTGTATATGCTACTCCCTACTGTATTAGTGATTGGCAAATGGTCATATTTCCATGGATTGTGTTTTTGTTTTCAGGAGCTGATTGAGCAGTTGTATAAAGGTGAACTGCCAAAGGATGAGTACCAATGCATGAACAATGCTGGTCAAGGGGTGGTTAATGTAGATACAAAGGCTGCATCATCAAGGACAAAGACAAAGCCATCTGAACCTACTACTACTACAGGTCCGCGGTCAATGAGATCGAGGAGGACTCCAAACTGGGCTCGCTCTCGTACTTCTGATGATGGTTATTCCAGGTATACATTTACCACTTACCTCCTTAACAAAAGTCTTATTAGAAAAAAGATAGCATGGTCAAACTACTAGAGTCAATTAGCTAGTTTCTTGGCCATGGTTTTAGTAACACATGTGTCCCTCTTTAAAATTTCCACTTGGGGCTTTTAACAACCAAAACAGTGCCCCAACCTTAAGTCTAACGGGAAAATAGCCTTGTTTACATCATTGATAAGTACATACTTGTAAATGAGGCACCTCAAGAGTCAAGTTCTTTCTCTACTTTTGTTAGTGACTCCTCTGTGAGAAGTGGATCTGTGGATTCTAAGAGGATGGGACAACGCATTTTTGTATTTGTAATTGGCGGTGCAACCCGCTCTGAGGTATGAAAATGCATTCAACATTTACTTTTATCTCTCATTTAGGCATTTAGCATCCATTGCTAGATAAATAAATTAGAGGGAAAATGGGGCTGAGGCTAAAGATGTAGTTCAAACGCAATTAGTATATTTCTGCTATGCATTCAATCTCAATTTATTTATATATTTATATTTCTAAAGACTAAGAAGAAATCTGAATTATGCAAGATTTTGAGGTTTTTCTTGCCTCAAATTTGACTTACTTTCATATTTTTAAGTAAAACCGGACATTAAAAAGATAATTTTCCTTTAGCCTTTTTGTCCTTGAAATTTTATGCTTGCTATCATTGTTGTTGTTGTCCACAGCTTAGAGCTTGTCACAAACTAACAGCCAAATTTGGGCGGGAGGTCGTCCTTGGCTCAACTAGTCTAGATGATCCACCTCAATATATCACGGTAATCCTGATACTATTATCTTTCTCTAGGACATGTGGATTGACGATCATCACTTCTAATCCTCCTCATGTATGTATATTCTGCAGAAACTGAAATTGCTCTCAGAAGCAGAACTCTCCATTGATAACATCAGAATCTAGAATGGTTTGAACTCATGAAGTAAATTTTGTCTGCAAAAAAAGCAGGCTTGTTTGACCTATTCATTTTTTGTATGCACTAGAAAAGTTGCAAAGTAAATTTCTTCTGTGTGATATTGAGAGTTTGTATATTTGTATATGTAGTCATGTACAGATTAGAACCAGGCATTGACAGAGTGTGCCTCAACCATTTCCCTTCATTATCAAAGTCTAATTTGCTTTATTAGTTGAGATTAATTATTATTTGGGAAAATTGAGTTTGCACTTGTTCTCATTTAAATGAGTTGTTATATCGTGGGATCAGCGCTTTGTGCATATAGTACTTCCATGCAGTAGGAGGGGTGCAAGTGTGAGCAAGTTTTGTTTAACTTATGGTAGATGGTGCTTGGTGTGATTTATGTTATACTTTTGTGTAACTTATACCACGAAGTATATTTTTAAATAAATGCCATTATAGAAGATTTAAATACATATGAATAATGTGCAAGAGATTTTAATATATGTAGTGTATATTCGGTGTAAATGTGATACTATCTCCGTCCCTTAAAACTTTGTAAAAGTTGACCGACACGGAGAATAATAAAGTAAAACCTGTGTGGTTGAGGTTTGTGCAGAGGAGAGGGAAATAACAGAAACCACAAAATAATTGATTAAAAGACAAAAGGGCAAAGTTTTTTGGGACGTCCCAAAAAGGAGAGATGACAAAGTTTTAAGGGACGGAGGGAGTACATAACAATGTAAATGATATTATAAATGTTTTAAAACATGTTATTAACTTGTAAATACATTACAATGTAAATGATATTATAAATGTTTTAAAACATGTTATTAACTTGTAAATGTAATAAGCACAATATAATTTCTGCATTGAAATTGGATTTTGGATCACATTTTCTAAATTCTTTGAATTCACTTCAAAGCACCTGAAGTGGAGTTAATATCAAATATTTAATCTAAATATGTGGTGCAAATATTTTAATAAGCAAATTAAATTAGTACAAGTTTTTTCAAATAGGACAAAACACAATTGTAGCTATTCATTTTTTTAAAACTATTTTTAGGCATTCGGGTTTCTCTTACCATTGATCCAAATAAGGTGGAATCTCCCACCCCAGGAGCCCCCCACCCCGACCCGACAGGATGGTGGGGAGGTTAGTCACGGTGACTCAATTAGCAGAATAGCAGTAGGCCCATACACTCGTGCGCACCAGAGGTACAACCTTATTTCAGGTTCTATAACCTCCATCCGATCGCTGCGACGATTCGAACCTTGGTCCATTGATCCAAATCCCCTACCACTAAACCAACTGAGCTACACGTGCGGGTTTCGTTTCTCTTACCAATTAAGATTGGTCGTGTCATTGTGTGTGCGGTGTATCTAATTTCTTGGTCCAAAAGGTGGAATCTCCCACCCCAGGAGCCCCCCACGCCGACCCGACAGGATGGTGGGGAGGTTAATCACGGTGACTCAGTCACCAAAGCGACGGTAGGCCTTATACAGGTGCGCATCAAAGGTCCAGCCTTATTTCAGGTTCTGTAACCTCCACACGGCCGCTGCGGGTTTCGAACCTTGGTCACTTGGTCCAATTTTCCCACCACTCGACCAACTAAGCTACCCGTGTGGGTGGTGTATCAAATTTCTTATCTCTGCATTTGGGTGCGTTTTTATTGATTTGTTAAAATGTTTCAATTTTATTATTTTTAATTATTATGAAGGTGTTTGATATAATGACAGTTTTCTTCATAATGTTCTACAAAAAGTAATTTTCAGATATTTTTACTTTTACTGGATAGTTCTATTGATCTTTTTGGTTAAATATACATCTTATTGTGTCACCAGAAAGTAACTTTTTCTTTATTACGACTTTAGACATAATAAAAAAGCAAATGAGAATTCCGCTCTAGACTTTGAAAAATACAGCACCGGTCATGGGACGACTGCCGAGAAAACTTAGGGATTTAGAACACTTGGATCATTTTCAATTACTAACTTGGAGTAATTGCAATTTTATACTCCCTCCATCCCATAAAGAAGTTGCATTTTCAATTTACGATGATTGGAGGGTGGTAAAGTTGGTCAGCTAACCAAAATTGATAAAAGATGAATATATAAAGTAAAAGATTGAGCGTGATTTAATTTAACCAATTGAATAGTGAACAAGAACTTCGTTTTGTGACGTAGTTAGCAATAAATAGCTAATACATTGTTTTTCCTTTCGCATGAGAAAGCTAATTTAGTTGAAATGAACTACTAATAGCTTTGAGAAAATAGAACCATTAAATATATTATTATTAATTAATACATGAAGTGGAAGAAGTTTCGGGTTTAAGAAAATGAAGTGGAATAAGTTCTAGTAAAATTACTTTGAAGTTAATTCTACTAGAAATGCCGATGTGACAAGTCAAGTCATAAGAATAACTAGTTAATCGAAAATTTCAGATAGCAGATTAGTTCACATAGTTCTTTGTTTAAACTTAACCAATGAAATTATTACATATATTATGAATAATAAATGAAGGGAAAAAAGTTATAGGTAAGCGTAGATTTTTAGATGTCCCTTTTATGCTTTTAATTTGAAAATAATTTTGCTAAAATATGTTGATGTGTCAAGTCAAGACACAAGAACAATTAACTAACCATTTCAAATTCTTTGTTTACACAATTCTTTGTTTAAACTTAAACAAATAAAATTACCCTCAATTAAACACGTGTTTCCCTAATATACCGTTACATACGGAGTATATATTTTTCATAATGATGCATAACATAGTGTCTTGTCCTTGTAGATTTCCAAATTGATTTTGATATCATGTCTTATCCATGTCAATTACTATCATGAATATATTATTATATACTACTTCCCATAAAATTCTACTCACTTTCCTTTTTGAGTCGTTCTAGTAGGAAAAAAATAAAATCTCTGCCAGCGCTAGACAGTTTCTGTTAGAATGGCTTTGATGCACATAATTTTCAAAAAGTTAAAAAAAGTGATCGCCCACCGTGGGGCTCGAACCCACGACCACAAGGTTAAGAGCCTTGCGCTCTACCAACTGAGCTAGACGGGCTTGTTGATGTTTTGTTACGCAGATAATATATATAGCAAATAAAATGTTTACTCATGTACGATATAAGAACATTCAATTTTGTAATATAGCACATAACCAAAATAGAGGTACAACCACATTCAGGCATTAATTTAAATAGGTACGACCACATTCAAGCATTAATTTAAAAAGGTTGATTTCCTAAATAGGGTTAAATAAAAGTAAAATTACAATAATAGGAGCTTAAAATTTTAAATTCTCAAAATAGGACTATCTCTTTCTATTCTACCCTTACCCATGTCATTCTTAATGAGATTTTTTAAATAATACTCCGTAATAATAAAACATAAAAAATTAAAATAAAAAACATAATAAATAAATAAATATATAAGCATCAACAACCACCTCAAGCACTTTTAAGCACCACCACCTACGATTATCGGAAAACAATGTCAAGTTGCAAAAAAAATCATGGTGATGGCAATTTTAAAAAGAATGTTGGATATTTTCAAATAAATGTCATCTTCATGATATAAAATTCTTAATGTTGCAACTATTTAAGAACGGATGTAATAATATTATGTTTTTAGTAATTCGATTCATGTGATGTGACTATGTGACAATATTGACCGTCATGTGCCTACCACAACACTCTCCTCTTTTATTCTGATTCTGGCTTGGGATAGACATTATACCAAAAATGATCTAATAGCGGAATTTATGCTTTTGGTAATTTGGTAATTGTAGTGATATTTTTGCCCAAGTGTCAAATTAGGTGTCAAGAAAAATCTTGACGGTATCAAGTGTCAAGAATATTTCTGGATATACTAAAAGACGGTATATTTGGTTCATCTTTTTGTCAAGAATATTTCTGGATGTACTAAAAGGCACAATATATTTGGTTCATCTTTTATAAGTGTTTTAAGTTTTGATCTATTGATGAAAAAAATGTTTAATGCGTCTTACTTTTTTTAAATATAAAAGTTTGTAATGTGAAGAAATTAAATAAGGGTAAGCTTGAGATATGGTCTTGATTTTCAAAAAAAAGAAGAAATTATTCAGAGACAAAAAAATAGTTAAAGTGACATTATATGATGGAGGAGTTTACTGTTTGCACTAAATTCATGTTGTGCCACTATAACACATCACTTAAGCTCGAGATTCCTTCTCCATTGGTCGTTAGACTTTGAATTACCTTTGCGTCATCCGTGTTGGGAAAAATTGATCTTTCTCGTAAAAATAACACTTCAAAATTAAAAGTAGTAATCAAAACACATAAGTATAAGATATACAAAAGTATAAGATATACACAATATATGTATAAGATATACACACCCTAGATTTTGATATAACGATTTTGATGATGTCATCCCCATCTTTTGTAGCATTCAAATGTTTGTATTTTACTCCCTAGTAGATTCATCTTTTGTAAAGACTTGTTCAACAGTGTCTTGTCCAAAATGATAATAAACAAAATAAAGATAACTGGAAAAGAGAAAATGCAATAAGGTAATATTCTTTTACCTTAAACGGATGCCTTACAAATCCAACCAGTTAAATTTATTTTGTTTCATAAGAAGCACTAAAAGATTTTGAACAAACAAATTAATTAAATTGGAACACAAAAATGCAATAAGGTATTAATCTTTACCTTAATAGGATTTTCTATCCTACCAGTTTAATTAATGGTCTAAGTTCAAAATACCAGTTGGGCCAATCACAACCAAGTATGACCAGAAGTCAAAAGAAAAATGTATGTATCAAATAAATTATACCGGAAAAGAAAAAATGCAATAAGGTAAAAACTACCTTAAAAAGGATATTTAAATCCTACTGGTATACATTTATTTGATTACGAACATTTTTATCAAAAGGCATATTGGTGTGAAAAATGTGTCAAAGAGAGAACAAATAAATGTAAAATTTCTAAGACTAATAATATTATTACTGGACAGTAAAAATGCAATAAGGTAAATTTATTTACCTTTAATAGGATATTTAAATCCTGCCAGTATAATTTTATTAGACTCAGAAATTGTTGTGTTCGAACAAATTTACCATGGCGGGTAAAACAGAGCCAATAAATCTCCAGCATGGAGAACCGACGTACAGCATGGGCGTACAGTCTGAAGCCTAAAGAGAAGTCTACAGTGGCTAGGCGGGCAAAACAAAAAGATCCCATAAGCTCTGAAGAGGAAGATAAACAACAAGTTGTTTATCCTCTGCGAT